GCTCAAGGTTCTCCAGCAGAAGTTGCTGTTCTTGGCCAGGGTCACTCTCTCCCCAAATTGAGGAAGTTTTCTTATGCTCAGAACAGAAAGCCACAAATCATTTGCTTGATCAAATTCATTTTAATACAGCTGGGACTTTGTCTGTGCAAAGGTCAAGTATAAACTTTTTAAATCCAAATGGTTTGGCCAGTTTGAGATTTATCTAGGCAGAGCCTCAGAGAGGCTATAGCAATAACTCAATTTACCAGAGATATGCTGATTTAAATACCTATCTCTGCTGGTTTTCCCTGTGAAATGAAGATTTGCAGATGTGCAAATTCCCAGTCACAAGGACTTTAATCCCATGCCTGTTGTCACAGACCATCCTGATTCAAATTGTGTTTTAGCTGAATTCTTACCAGCTGCATTAAATAATAAAACTTGTCCATGTTTCTCAACAGTTTTATTACTAGTGGATAAAGGAATGTGTTGAGAAAACAAATATCATACTGACTGCACTGTAAATCTCACCTGCAGATCTCACCTGCTGCTCCCTTGTCCTAGTGTTCAGAGCTGTGACTGTGCAGGAGACTCACTGCCTTCCCTGTATGGCCAAACAGGAGATGGGGTGAACCACAGGACAGGCTGTATTTATTACCAAACAGAAGAGGAATTATCAGTAGATACACTGCTGTAAAGGTGTGTCCTTACCTTGGTTTGTTTAACCCAAGCTTGAAAAACAGGTCTAATTTGGATTTGAAGGGGATGTGACATCCAACACTACAGCCATTTACCCTGAGAGCACCTTTCTTTTGTGCCACGGATAGAAGTTTTTCCAGATTATGTTTCTCCATAATGTTTCAATAATTTCTTTCTTTCTCTGTCCTCTATGCATCCATCTCCTTCCTGACACTCATCTTTTTCTTCATAGTGATTTCAAGATTCTCTTTCTTCCATTTCCCCTTCTCCCCTTCTCCTCACTACCCCCATTTCACATCACAGTGCAGAGAGCAGACTCTGCCCTGGGCAGTGCCAGGAGCGAGGTGTGAAACCTTCTGCAGTAACAGAGAAACCCTCTCAGGGTGGTCACACAAATCTCACTGCCTCCTTGATGCTGCCAACCAATGGGAGCACCAGGATTTGTATCCTGCCCTGAGAAAAAGCAGGGCACGTATTAGGCAAACTAATCACGCTGCAGGGATTTGTGGAATGAAAAGCACCTCTGCTCAGGGCTCAGAAATGGTGTGAATCAACCACATACCACTGTCAGGGGCAAATTCACCTGCTGTCTCCTTATTCTCTTCTGCTATACTCGTTATTGCAGCATCTCAGCCTCCAGGAGCAGAGAGCAGAGCCTGGCCAGCCCGTGGTGAAGGCTCTCAGTGTGTCTCAGGGCAATCTGGAGTGATTTACACAGGGCTGTGTGAATCCTTCCCCCTGTGCCTGCAGCCCTGCCTGTGGCTGGGGCTCCCCAGTGCAAACAAAGCAATGCAGACTTAATGATTGCTGTCATTTCCATGTGCCTGCTGCTGATCTCTTAATGAAATATTCCACTTAAACTGCACTGGCACAAGCACAGTTCTGTGCTGGCGGAGCTGCAAAACCAGAGTGCCCAGTGAAAAGGTTCTGCAGTACAAAGGAAAGCTGGTAGTGAAACACTGTCTGACTGTTTTTGTGCCGGCTCCTGCAATAAACACAACACCTGCCAGGCTTTCTGAAGGGTAAGAGGAGAGCAGAGGAGATGGAAATTGCCTTTATCTCAGGTTGGGACATGGGAGAACCAGCTGAAATGAGGGTGACAGTCTGTGGGATACGGATTTGGCATTCATGGAGGGGTGAGTGGTGTCTGCTCAGTGCTGCTCTAACAGCCTTGCTCCCTCCTGTCAAACCCTGCTGGGAGCACTGCTGCAGAGGAGGAACACTGGGAACATGCAGCACCACACAGACTCTTTGTTTACCTATTGTCACAAGCAGCAAACCAAATATTGGTGGGGGAAAGCTAAAAATCTGTTCCATGGCCAAATGTATGTTGTAGGAAATAGGAGACGTAAAATAACTGAAAAGCAATGGAGTATTTTAAAAAGTTGACTATATTGCACACTCAGTCTAAAATAAAGACAAACAGATACCAAATATGTTCTTCACTCTTCCAGAGATGAACAAGAGCATTGAGCTCACCATTCCTTAGGCCATCAGCTCTTGCAGAATTCCTCTTGCAGAGGTCTCTAAATTTTGCCTCTGCTCTGGCCTAGCACACCTCACCCCTTCCCAGCCCCTCCAAGCACTGATCACAAGCAAGCAGCCACTGGCTACAGGCACTGCAGGGTCCCAGGAACTGCTGCAGGAGTAGAGAGCAGCATCTGGAACAGGGAATTCACACAGTCTGCCCGGGTCACAGCACCCACTCCATCCTGCCTACGGTGAGGACTTGCTGAAGGTGCTGATGAGTTTGTGGTTGACTGATAAAAGGATTTTTCCCCTGTATAAAAGCCTATTTTAAGACCATGTTTTTCAAAGATAACTAGGCGGAAAGTAATGCAATAGGAGCTGTGATTTAGTCCAGCTACTCTACCAAGTCCTCCTGTAATTTCCTGGATGATCTGGAGTCCTGTCCTACACTTTTTCATGGTAGCTAATACTAAAAACTGCTTCAGCAGGTGAGAAATCAGCCCTGTTCAGAGCTGACCCACTAGCAATGGTTGTGAAGGGCATTATCTTCCCTGTTCCATCAGTACGAGGCAAATGAGGGAGGCAGTTTCCTTCAGGGAACCAGGGCTGTGTTAGAGACACAGGAAGAAGGGAACAATGCCCAAGATTTGCATTTGCTGAAGGGCTCAGCACATTGCTCCCTTGTGAGCCGGCCAAGACCGACAGCACATGAATCCTTGTGATTCATCCTTCCCCTGGTCCACCTCTCTGCATCCAGCACGGCACAGAGAGCTCTGTGTGTTTATTTGTACACAAAAAGGTCTTTACTTGCTACTGTAGTATTTGGGTGCTTGGCTCAGGCTCCCAAGATGGAGCAGGGGTACAGACTGATCTGTTGAACCAGTATTTTCCACTTTTCTGCCAGACTGCTGGGTGATCTTGGGCACTTTACAGCAACTTCACCTCTCACCACCTCATTTTAATTCTGTAAAATTATCCTGCTTAACTTTGAATAGAGTGTAGCTGTCAACTGATGCAAGGGCAGGGTATGTTGTTTACACATGATTCAAATAAAACCAGTGCCTAAAACCTGAAAGCAGCAAGATAGAGAAATTGAGAAAGAACAGAGCAGAAACGTGAAATTGTTCCTCTGCCTCAGCTTTTCTCTGCCTGCTGCCCTTCCTAAACAGAGGCAATTACAGTCCAGCCCCATCATCCAGTTTACTCCCTGTCAGCCACGCTGAGAAGTTCAGGCTACCCCCCAAGGCATCATAAATGAAAGGTAAATAAGCCACACATTAGGAAGGGTCTCTTTAAAGGTTACAGTTCTGCTGTGCTGAAGAACGCACGTTTCAGGGCAGATCTTTCCCTCTGGAAGGCTCTGGGTATGGAAACCTGGCAAGAAGGGCAGGTGCTCAGGAAGGGCACATTCCAGGCACTCCCTGCTGCTGATGCCGTGTCAGCTGTGCCTGCCCAGACTGTCCTTAGTGGTTTTAGGGGAAGCATAACCCAGGGATGCAGAGGTGCACATCCCAGGGATGCAGGGGTGCACATCCCAGGGATGCAGGGGTGCACATCCCAGGGATGCACAGCACGGTGAGGCTGCTGGGGATGGATGTGTCAGGCAGATGGACTCTAAGCTGTTGAAAAGGCTCCTGAGTTTCTGCTGCTTGTGAATATCATATACAGAAATTGTCTTTTCCTCCTACAAATAACTCCCCCTGGAGTTGCAGGAAGCGCTGTCTAAGGGCTCTGACTGTCTCAGGGTCGAGCTGTGGAGAAGCTGCAAAGCAGGGCAGCAGCTGCCCGTTTTGGTAGGAGGCAGACACGGAGCAGTGCCCAGCAGGACCTGCCGCGCTCGCAGGGCTGACCCTGCGTGTGAAGTGTCGCTTGCACCCTACACAGGCTCCCAGCGTTTTCTCTTCCGAGTGTTTGTTGAGCTGTTGTCTCCGGCTGTGGCAGGTCGGAAGCTGCATCTGGAGAAGGTTTGAACGTATCCAGCCGCTTTCAAAATCCCCCGTTGTCAGAGGGCTAAAAACCCTGAAACCCCCTCACCTCCGCGTCCCACACCTGGCCGTGGGTGTGTGCATGCCCAGCCAGCCTGCCCGGGAGGGGCTGCCCAAGCCCCGCGGGGACAGGAGCGGGCAGGAACGCCGGTCCGTGTGCCTGTGCCTGCTCCCGGCCCGCGCCGTGTCCTGCCCGTGTCACCGGAGCACGCAGGGCTGCGGCCATGCCCGGGTCCAGCTCCGGTCCGTGCCCGGCTGCACAGCGCGGGGTGCCGGGCTGCGGGGCGGCAGTGTGGGATGTGGTAGCGCGTGTTTGAGGGTGAGTGTGTGAGCGAGCAGTGTGTGCGTGTGTGTGTGAGAGTGTGCAGTGTGTGTGTGAGCAGTGTGTGTGTGTGAGCAGTGTGTGTGTGTGTGTGTGTGAGAGTGTGCAGTGTGTGTGTGAGCAGTGTGTGTGTTTGAGCGGTCTGTGTGTGTGTTTGAGCGGTCTGTGTGTGTGTGTTTGAGCGGTCTCTCTGTGTGTGTGTGTGTGTGTGTGTGTGTGTGTGTGTAAGTGCGCGCCCGAGCCCTCAGCGTGCCCGCTCCCCTGGGAGCCGGGCAGCTCCGCGCGGCCAGAGCGCCCCGGCGCTGTGGGGTGCTCTGTCCCTGTCCCGGGGTGCTCTGTCCCTGTCCCCGGAGTGCCCCTGCCCGCCGAGCCGTGCCGAGCCGTGCCGAGCCGTGCCCGAGCGGGGCGGGGCGGTGGGAGGGGGCTGGCCGCGGGGCCGTGGCGCGGCGGAGCGGCGGGCGCAGAGCGCGGCGGACACGGCTCCGCTCGCTCCGCTGGGCTCGGCGCACCGGGGCCGGGCGCTCCATGAGCCGCCGCGGGGCCGGTGCGCGCTGCGTTCGCTCCCCGCCGCGGAGCCGCCGCGCCGCCGGAGCCGGGATGTGACTTGCGGAGGGCTGGCGGACAGAGCTGCCCCGCCGCCCTCGGCCGCAGCGGACAGCGGGTGAGCCGGCGGCGGGGCGGGCGGGGGGACAGCGGCCCCGGGGCGGGCGGGGGGACAGCGGCCCCGGAGCGGCCTCGGAGCGGCCCCGGGGGTACGGCCGGGCCAGGGCTGCGGGCCAGGGACGTAGCGAAGCCGCTCAGCCGGCTCTGCGCCCTGCGCTGCCCGCAGAATTAGCTCGGTGGCCGCCAGCAGACAACAGGCTGGATATAGGAATCCTGGGGGGATTAGATGGGATATAGGGCAGGACGGGGGGGCTCGGAGCAGGGGCTGCGCTGCAGGGAGCGGGGCGCAAGGCTGGCGAGGAGGGCAGCGGAGTTCGGAGAGGATGGGGAAGAGGAGCGGGGACAGGCGGGGGAGGAAGAGACGGGAAAAAGAAACCGAGGAGGAAAAGAACGAAGGGACAAATGAGCGGAGGCTGAAGCGGGATAGGTACCGTCCGGGAGGAGGAGGAGGCTGCGGGCGGATTAGGGCGAGCCGGGAGCGGGGGCAGCCGCGCACCGGCCGCACGGAGGGGCCGCCCGGCCTCGCACCGCGGGGTGGTTGCAGCCAAGCCCGGCACCTCACCGCACTCCCAGCGGGGGCTCAAGGGCAGGGACAGAGAAGAGGCCGAGGGGGAAGAGCCTTTGTTGGCCCCCGGCCGGTCCCGGGGCCGGCGGCAGCTCCGGCTGGGTGCGGGTGCGCTGCAGTTTTCTCTCTAGTTAATAGAAGCCCTGTCTCTGTGTTACCTCTCCGCAAAGCCACGCAGAGAGAGGATTTAGCACTTATGTGAACCCTTTGTTTACACCTGCCCTTAATGTTTATCCCAAGGCTAACAGGATTTCCTGCGTGCTGAACCCAAACACCCAGCTTGGTGATCAGCGCTAGTACCGCGTTTAACGGGGATCCCCTCGCTGCTCACCAGCAGGGAATATCAGGGTTGAGGTGTTGTCTCGCTACATCAGGAGAAATCCGGTGACAGAACCCATCTGCGAGAATGCTGTGACATGAATAGAAACAGTCTGAGAATTAGCAAAGAAAGCAAAAACGTTGATTACCGTAATTGATTGCTATCGCTTGTGAATTCAACACCAGACGCTGTGGTCAGAAGTACCTTGGCACACGTGATACACTGATTCTGACCAAAGGGAATTCAGCTCCTAGAAAATTAGAAAGATACTTTCATAGTGTATTCAGCATCACAAAGTATTTCTAAATGAAAGCAATACTTTTTCTACACATCCTTTTTGGAGTGGGGGCTTGCTTTCTGTAACCGTGAGGCTGTAACAGAGCATGATGTGTGTCTGATGCAGGGGCTGTCAAAATCACTGCTGTATTTTTGCCTACAAAGCACAATTGCACTATTAATTATTATTCTGGAAATACACACGTCTCTTGAGTAGTCTGATCTCAACTTGGCTGTTGCTGCTCTGTTATCAGTCCTGGAGCTCATTCTTCAGTTCTGATCAAAAGCAGCTGGCAGAGATCCTGTGTTGTGATTAATTCCTCACTCCCGACTCTCCCCAACACTTCGTGGCGGGGGTGGAATTTCTTTTGCAGATTGCACCAGTGAACCAGTCTTCTGCCTGTGTGCTTACTATCTGTGCTACTATTGCTTATAACTCTTTGCATGATTACACATTTATTCTGGATATATATTCTGTAGCAGCATACAGCTGTGTCTTTTTGTAATCCCTTTGCAAGCTTTGGTCAGGAGACTTTAGCTACAGAAAGCCTCATTGATTTTTAACTGTGACAACTTTTTGATGACAACTGTGAGGTTTTCTCTTTCTGCTTAGTTGCTTGTAATTGTAGTTTGTACCCGCTGGGGCAGCTTTGTGTCTGCAATTCTGTAGTGACTCTATGCCAGATAATGTAATGAAGGGACCTCACTCTGTAGAAGACAGTGGAGTTATTACAGCTGTCATTGAGAGCAGATTTTGAGCCAAAAATTAAATACTGGATTGAAACAGTAGCTGTCCTGCTAATTGTTCACTGCTTTTGCCTAAAATGTGTAGGGCTTATTGATTAGAATATTGATTGTAAATGTTCCTGATTGCTCTGGTTTCAGGTACGTTGCCTTAATGGCTTTACCAAAATAAAATTTTGGAGAGGAATCTGGGGGGGAAAAAATCTCAAATTGCTTTTGCTCCCTGTGAACATTCATTGCAGTATGCAGGGGATGCAGCAGTGCCACAGGCTGTACGTGTGCTGGAATGTCTCAGTGCACTCCTGTGTTACTCGAGTTCTCTGGCAGCAGCAGGGAAGTGCCAGATGAATAGAGCACCATTGTTACTACTGTGAGGTTGCATAACTCTAGTGAGAACTAATCTAGACATAAAGATGTAAAAATACTCTTCCTCTACAGTTACTGATTTAAGTAACAACCAGCAAGAATGTGCAGTAAAATTTTACTATAAAATCTCAAGAGGCTCAGAACTCTGCCATGCTACCCACTGCACAGGCTTGAGGAAGATGCTATTTTAATAAAACCCCCATAATGATGTATTTCTGGTTTTTGCAAAAACAACTTTTCTGGAAAAAAAACAACAACTTCACAGTTTTCCCTTAAAATGATTGAATCTGTAGTTTTAGCTAAAGTTGTGGTATTCACTTGCCAAACTTGTGTGTTGTAATTCAGTGTTTCCCCTTGTTTTTGTAACTGTCTGTGTTCAGTATCAGCACTAGAAAGGATTTTTTTTTTTGGCTGGTAATGTCTCAGGGGGTGAATTATTAATATTGCCTGTTTTACCAGTTAGGCAGAAATTGATAGTAAACAGGTTAGAAACAAACTGCTTTGTTGATAGCAGTTAGGAGGAAAATATTCCTCCTTTGGAGACTTCAAGCTCTGCTTTTTTTGCTCTGGGCAGGATCTGGTGTTTAGTGAGACTCACTGACAGTGGGTAGGGAATTATTTCACACCAGGAATAGCTGTCAGCAGTCCTAGAGATTTTCTTGGTCAGTATTGTGGCTGTCTGGGACCTTTCTGAGGACCACTGATTATGTCCCATCAGCTTTCCCAAAAGCACAAAGTAACTTGGGAAAATTCCCCTGGAGTTGAACACCTCTATATTTCAGAATACGTATTTTGAATTCTGAGTATATTTTGTCATAGCTTAATTCCCCCTTTCCAAAACTAACCACTTCTTCATGGAGGGGGAAATAGTCAGATTAATTAACCCTCCCTTCCCCCTCCCAAACACTTCCAAATAGGAAGAGGAAACAAATGATGGCCTGACAATATGACTGCTTACCCATGCAGCACAATCTCCATGGAAACAGACTGTCCTAGAACAGCTCAATCACATGAGGGTTACATGACATGAATAAAGTAACCAGAAAACTGGAAAATATCTTAGAACTGGGGATACTTTCACTTAATTAATTACCCCCCAGGTCTTTGGAGAGTAGCTAATAAACAAAGCTAGTATTGAAAGCAATTTAGTCCATGCTTACCATAATTTGTAAGTGATGGGATAGTGGAAAATCAACATGACCCTCACTTTTAGGGCTGCTTATTGTGTCTAGTTTGGGTGACTTTAGAATGAATTTTGAATAATTTCCCACATGGCTTCCTACTTGTTGCAATTGTACCACTGGTTTGGAGCATTGCCTTCGTAAATCCCAGTGGATTTCCCCTTTTGTGACAGCAGGCACTGACCATTTCACACTTTTTAGGATGTTTCAAACACTCTAAAGAGGAAATTCACTAGTTGCAGTAGGAATTGACTGTGCATAAAAGGAATTGGAGAACTATCTTCGGAATGTGTTCTTCTAGTTAATTATGTACTCAGAGGGCAAGGAGATTTATTGAGCGTATATTGAATACAGAAATGAATATATTTCACTGATGATTAGTTTTCTGTCTGTAAAGTGGGTGTTTTTAACGTGGGTGTTGCAACAGAGTCATTGAAGGACGTGTTACACAAATCAGATATAAACAAGTGTATATTCTACCAATCCAGCATGAAGTATATTACAGAGAGGTAGAAAAAACAAATCACTTGTCCTTAGCAGGTCATTGCATCATTAGAACATTGCAGCCCTTCCAATAGTGCAAAGATTAATATCTGTGGGCTGGCAGAGATTGCCCATTACCCATTTCCTGTTTGTCCAAGCCCACATCACATTATTTGTCACAGCTTCCACTTCTGAGATGAAGGTTTGCAATAGGATGTTTTGTACCCTGTGTGGGTGAAGCCCATGGAGTCATTACAGGTTTATATTGGCATGTTTGCTGTCATGGTGCCCCTGATAGCAAACATCATAAACTTCATCATCTGTCTCCTGATGGAGGCTGGAAATGGCCATTGGACATGACACAGGGAAACACTGGTTTGAAGATTCAGATCCTCAGGATTTAACTTTGGTCATTACAGGACTGTAAAGCACGAGAACATCCACAGTTCTCAGCTCTAAGAGACACAGCACAGTTTCAGTCTATGTAAATAGTTCTTGTGTTGGTTGTGACTGATTGTGCTCAATGCAACACCACACCACTGCTTTACATAATTTTTGACTCTCGCTAAAGTTTTCAAAGTTTTCATTAAAGCAGTTTTAATCTCTTTGGTCAGGTAACCATTTATGGCTGTTGTATGGCTTACAGAAGAGCTCCTGATAGTTCCTCTGCTTTTCACTTTGCACCCTAAACATTGATTAACATTGACTGACATCACTGCCTGCTTTTGGGTGCTTTTCTTCGTCGTGCTCATACAGTACCAGTGGGAGTCTGGAACATCCCTCACATCAGTGAGGAAAATCCTGCTGGAACCTGCAGCTCCAACTGCTGCTGAAGGTTAACAGAGTCAGGTTTCAGATCTGCTCCTCACAGGGTTTGCTGCAGACTGCCCTTACAGGGCTGTGCCCAGGCAGACTGGGAGTTAAAGGTTACATTTTTTAACAATCTGCTTTGCTTAATAAAAGCAAACACCATAATGTATATTTTTAAAGCACCTAACCCATGTTCTTCCAAAAACTTCAAGTTGGGATTTGTCTAGGCTTTTGGTCCTGGTGGTCAAGTGGGATGTGTTGTGTTCCTGGAGTGTTTACCATTGTCCACTTTCTGGGTCCGGGAAAGAGATGCTCTGGGTTTTGTTATTTGTTCCCTTTGAATGGCTTTGGACTGGCTAAGAAGAACAATGAGGCATTCATTTTTGATTAGTTGATTGATGACACTGCATGTGTGCACCATTGTCACAGAATATGGGATTTTTCTAGACTGCCATTCCCATTTCCAAATGCAATCTAATACCTGGGCTTTGGAAGAGGATGAAAGAAGTGAATATGATAACTGCCTATTGACTGAGCATGAAAACAAGATTTTTCTTTTTTTTAAGAATGTAAAGTGTTTATTTTCCTTGGATTGCTTTATCCTTTAAAAAAGTAATAATTTAGAAAGTGGTTTTGACTCTACCTTTGTTCCAGTAAAAGGAGCAAAGCTGTGGGACAGGCTAATTGTGATATTGCTTACACCTGCATCAGGCCCAGTGCAACTTAAACATGCTTTAAACACCTTGATTTGAATGGAGTATTACATTTAAATAGGTACTAAGTGTCCAAGTTTGCAGATAATGTAATGTTTGCAACAGGATACATAATTTTTTCTGGCTGTGTTGTAGGCCATTTGCAGGGTCAGAGTTTGGAAATGTTGTTTTCAATCTGTGCAAACAGAGCAATAAGTCATTTTGCATTCTGAGTACAACAGGCAAGAGCAGCTTTTGGGAGGGCAGTGAAGGGGGCAGGGGGAGGCTGTGCCAGCTGCAGATCCAGTGCACAAACTGTAAACATTGGGCTACTGGAACAAGCTGGGCTTCAGCGGCTGTGAAACCCTCCAAACTCAGCTCTAGCTAAACAAATGCTTTGTTGTCTCAGACAGAAAAATGAAAACCTACCCAGCCATTGGTTTCTTGCTGCTGTTGGTGATCAGCTATGGCTCCTCAGAGAACTCCAGCACGCCGCGGGGCTGCGGGCTGGACCTCCTGCCCCAGTACGTGTACCTGTGTGACCTGGACGCCATCTGGGGCATCGTGCTGGAGGCCGTGGCGGGGGCAGGTGTGCTCACCACGCTGCTGCTGATGCTGATCCTGCTGGTGAGGCTGCCCTTCATCAAGGACAAAGAGAAGAAGAGCCCCCTGGGAATGCACTTCCTCTTTCTCTTCGGGACTCTGGGACTGTTTGGGCTGACGTTCGCGTTCATCATCCAGGAAGATGAGATGGTGTGCTCCACCCGAAGGTTTCTCTGGGGAGTTATCTTTGCTTTGTGCTTCTCCTGCTTGCTCGCCCAGGCCTGGAGGCTCCGCAGGCTTGTTCGCCACGGCAAGAGCCCGTCGGGGTGGCACCTGGCCGGGGTGGCCACGTGCCTGATGCTGGTGCAGGTCATCATCGCGACCGAGTGGCTGGTCCTGACCGTGGTCAGGGAGAACAAGCTGGCCTGCAGCTACGAGCCCATGGATTTTGTGATGGCCTCCATCTATGTCATGTTCCTGATGGTATTTACCCTGGGATTCTCGTTTTTCACGCTCTGTGGGAAGTTTAAGAAATGGAAGAAAAACGGAGTTTGCCTCATTATAACGCTTTTCTTTTCCATTCTGATCTGGGTGGCCTGGATGACTATGTACCTGTTTGGGAATGCTGAGCTCCAGAGAAGGGACAAATGGAGTGATCCCACTCTGGCTATTGCACTGGTGTCCAGTGGCTGGGTGTTTGTTATTTTTCATGCCATCCCAGAGGTCCACTGTACCATCCTTCCATCACAGCAGGAAAACACACCCAATTATTTTGATACTTCACAGCCAAGGATGCGTGAAACCGCTTTTGAGGAAGATATTCAGCTTCCTAGGAGCTACATGGAAAATAAAGCCTTTTCAATGGATGAACATAATGCAGGTAAAAATTGCCTATAAAGGACTATATTTTTTTGTAGTGTCAAGACAACTCTCTGTATGAGACATTTTTCAGGTGTTGAAAATGAAGGTCATGATAAATACAATAATTTTCACACTACACCTTGTTCCCTTTTACAGTTTTCACTAAGATATCATCTAGTGAGAGAGAAAAATAAGTGCAGACAATACATAAGTTAAAATTATCTTCTGCAGGTTGATCTTTCTTTGAAAAACTGAACAATTTCAAATGCAAACGCAACACCAAAAGAATTTAAAAAATCATTGTGGAAAAAATAACCTTTAAATAATTTAAATGACATTTTTTGTAATTAGCAGTTATCAACATTTAATACAAAATATTTTCCCAAAACCTCAGAAAAGAATGAAGTGATCTATGTTACAAATTGCTCAACCACTTGAGCAACAAAATAATTATTATTAATTATCCTTCCATTAAAATGGATTTAGTGCCACTTTGTGTCCCTGTGGGGGGAAGAAATGCCAAGTGGCTTACAGACAGTTCAAAGACAGCCTTTGTTCTGAAGGATTGAACATCTGAGCTTTCACGGAGGTTTCGAGGTAATTTGCCTTCCTTGTTGCAGAACGATGTCTGATCACACATCATTAAAATTTGCAGTGGAAATGTTTTTGAGTGATTGCTGAAAGGACCAGCAACAACTGGGTGCTTCAGAGATCCAAACCCTTGCTGGAGGTTCAAGCCATGTCAGAAATGCCAGGGATGCCTCTGACCAGCAGTGGGAAGCAGGAGCCCCGTGGTGTTCTTGCCCCACACCTGGATAAAGGATTTTGTTACAAGTCACACTGATTGTTTTTCATTCTATTTGAGAAGAATACTGGCCTGGTAGCCCAGGCAGGAGTTGCCACATTGCTGTGGCAGCCCCTGAAAGGAAGCTTAGGGCACGTGGTCCATGCACTTCACCTTCCTATTCACCTTTATTGATTTCCTCTGGGTTTGATGTTTCCCTGGGCACTGACCAGACTTGGAGGAAGACAGCACTTTTGTTTGGCACAGTGTTGGGTCAGGAAGGCATTTTTTCCTCTAAGTTTTTTAGCAGAAACTTAAAAGGTCTCCTTCTAGTAGAGAAGTTTGTTCTGTCAGTAGATACTGTAGGGGCAATGGTAAAACAACAAAAAAAATCACAATAAAAGAATGGTTGTTATTACTAATGTTCCAAAGCAAGAGGCAGTTGCACTGTGGACTGTTAAAACCACTCTTTTACTCTTTTTTTTTTTTTTTTTTTTTTTTTAGTGTGGTGGTTTGTTTTTACTGTCCTCCATCCCCCATTAAATTAATTTCATAGTAAAGTAACTGCAATGTCTTCAGTGAAGCTATTTCTGGCTAAGGCAGATCTAAGAACAAAATTGGATCTTTCACTCTGTATCACTCCCATTCATGGGTGCATTTTTAAAAAAGAACTGGAAGCTCCTTTTTGATCTAATCATTCAGTAATTAAGTTTTTTTGTGGAATGGATAGATGTATGATAGCTACAAAATCATTATACTGTCTATTATAGTGTAATTTATGTTCTGTTTTAATCTATCTGAATGACAGTACAATACAAAATAGATTTCCTTATCTGATGCCCTTGTTAACGTACACCATAATAAATGCCTGTCATTCCTATCCCATGGCATACAGGAATTTTTAATAGATCAAAACAGATTAAATCTTCCTTTGCAGCAGTTCTTTAGGGACTGGCTTGGGACAGCAGGGTTTGGAGACAAAACTTAGTAGCATGGTAGAGACTTAAAGTAAATACTTTAATAATAAGGCAATAATAACCAAGGTACTGAGTCAGATCTCTGTGCTGATGGTTGTCAATGGCAAAGCACCTGGAGTCTGTGAGCAATTGGCTCTGCAGGGGTGAAGAGAATGTTCTCTCCTTTCATCCATTTAATCAGACTCAGTTTGAGAATTCATCATCAAGAGTTCAGAAATTACTGGAAGGGTACTTTCTTCAACTACTTCATACTTAAGAATGATGTTTAAGAATAGAAGATGTATTAGTTGTAAAGTTTGGAAGACATGATAAGCAGAAAACAGTTCCCTGACTGTAATACTTGTTTCAGCAAATAGTTAGCTTTAAGTAGAAAACATGCCTGGACAAACATATTTTCCATTAATTCTTGTTATTTCCACTAATATTTGTATAAAACAATTTCATAACTTTGCTCTTTTTTAAGATTTTAAGCAGCATTTTAACAATCTGTACAGTGTTCAGGTTCAAACAAGCATATATCCTCCTTGATTCCTTCTTTCTTAGCAAAAAATTACCTTCAAGTTATGCATTGCAACAAGAGCTGCTCTATGCCAGGAACAACATGAAGCATTAATAAAGCAAACCTATTTTAAAGTCATTAACTTAAGCATCATTTAAACAGCATACTAATCTGGGATTTTAGTATTTATATGATAGGTTGAAATATCTCTTTATAAGAGTTGTTTTCACTCTAAACTTTTATTAAAGTATTTAGAAGGCCTGGACAAAGAGCAGTTGACTGAGTTCTCAGAGCTCTCTGGAAGTGCAGTGCACACTAGTAGGGCAACCTCTGTAGGCAGAGAGAATTTGCCTTAAACAAGAGAAATGTGGATGTGAAATGTAGAATGCAACAGCTGTCAGGAAACCCAAGCCCAAGCAGCTCTGGTATCATTAAATTTCATTTAATAACTTCTAGTACTACCACTCACAGTCACAGCCAATAGCTAAAAGCAAAGTGAACAAAATTTCAAATGTGTTACAAAGAGGCTTTGACAAATATCAAATATCCTCAGTACTGCTGGGTTTTAACCTATACATGCCCTATGCAAGTGGATTTATTTAATAGTAACATAAAAAGTACAAGGAAAAATGTTAAAACTAGTGTAAGAAAAAAAACCCCAAAGTATTTTATCTACAACCTTTGTCATAGATTCTCACATCAAAAAAGCTGAAGCTGTTTGCAGTTATAGGGAAAGACAATTTAGGAATATGAAATTGAATTTACTGGCTCTTTAAGATAGCTTTGAAATGACTGTGTATATTTTGTGTAAATATTCTGTATAAATATTTTCATGATTGTGTGCATGATAAAGATTTTTGTGTCTGTGTGTAATAGCAAATACCAGTGCAATCATGTGTGTTTATCACACAAGAAGTAGTCAAATAGCAAAAAAAAGGTTACTGACCTTGAGATGGTTAAATATCTAATAGAGAATACTTCATTCCAGTTTAGGCATTTTCATAATTTTTTCTCCCAGTGTTCTGCAAAAATAGAGCAAGTGAGGGTCTATATGTATCTGAAGTCAACAGCTGAGCATTTGCAGGGTGGAATTTCTGAATTTCCATGCCAAATCAGTACTGATCTTCATCTTGGTGCACAACTCCCAAGAGAGGAGTAGCAGTGGATAGAGGACAGCATATGGCAGGAGGATCCATTTAAATCTTCTACACAGAGCAACTACATTGGAGATAAATCCTAGCTTCATTAAAGTCTGGGCTGGAATTCTCATAAACTTCAGCTCATTCATGATTTCAGCCAGAGACTGTAGAATTGTAATTTGAATTAAATTTAAGAGAAGTTCTTGCCCTAGGTGCCTGAACTGGGCATGTTTCTGTTTAGCAGCTGACAGATGAGTTTTGCCCATTGTGTGATAAATGAGCTCTGTTCCTGGCCACGTCTGAGTGCACTGAAGTCATCATTTACCCTCAAAATTAAAGAGGGAGTTTGTATGTGCCAATCCCCAGCCTGCTTTAGAGAGAGCAGCATATCCCTCATTATGCATATCTCACTCAGAATGTACATCTTGAACCCAAACTTGTACTAAAATTAATGGGGAGACTGTTTTATTCCTGGTATAAACATCCAAAAGGACACTCAGTGTCTTCTCTGGCTTCAGTGATTTGCCATGTTTAAGCTATTCAAAAGCAATATTTACTCCATCTTTCTGGTTTCTCAGAGTAAATATAATCTGAAACATCTGGAAAATCCTTATTTGCTAGTCATGCTGAAGTAATGCTCAGGGGGTTGCGAGCATTGCTTACTGGCTTGAGCAAGGCTTTGGATCCCTGTCCACTGAGTTTGATAGAAAGGAAAATGTAACTTAACCCCACAGTATCCAGACCAACAGAGGAAGCACTTTGCAAAACATATTGTGCAAGATACATCACAGGTTTGGTGACTAAAGACACTGAGCTCCCACTGAAATGAGATTAAGCAAGCTTCAAAAATTTGGTTCCTTTTTCCCCCTCCCTAGCAAACAATTCATTTAATGTAAATCTGATTCTTCTGAGATGTGTTCCCAACGTGTAAGGGAAACAGCTGTTCAAAAGCAACATGGAAGTTAAAATCAGTGGCAAAGTTCCCAATAACCAAACTGGAAGGAAGAGGCTCTGTGGCTGCACAGCTTTAATTGTGTTTAAGAGTGTGATGTCTCTTTTTTCCAGCGCTGAGGACGGCAGGATTTCGGAATGGCAGCTTGGGCAGCCGGCCCAGTGCTCCTTTTAGAAGCAATGTTTATCAGCCAACTGAGATGGCAGTTGTGCTAAATGGTGGGACTGTAAGTATCAAAATGTGATGATTAAAGAAATCTTTGAAATGCAGTGATATATACAACCATTACTAATTGAAAAACCTGCTTTAGCTTATTCCCAGCAGGGGGAAAGCTATAAATGAAAATTTAAGGCAGCAAGTATGCATGTAATGCTTCCCTTCCCTCTAACATATGTAGCTAACGAGTATTTTGCATTTGTTTACTCGGCTATTCACATTTTGCAGTGCAGCTTCAGTGAACCAAGTTTTTTTGTAAGACAACATATTCAATGGCCCTTTCAAATTAAATTTGTGTTAAGGAATTTAACATAACTATTAAGTGACACCATTTCTAATCTGATTTTTTTCAAGATGGTGTGAGTCACACAGATGTTTTCAGGCAGTATGTTACTTTAAATAATTGTTGCAGATAATGGTTGTTCCACATATATTCCATTTACTTGTAAAATACATGTAATTCTTTGTAACTTAAAAATTTGTACATATTTTGAAAAGAGATTCATAAAAGAGGAATATAGAATATTTTCATGTTAATAGCTTCAATTTTTCTTCCTTGTAGAATGGTTTGGCATATCTTTGATAGACCTGTATTTTTGCAGCCTGGTTGTTGTAAGATTGGTTTAGTGATGCCAAACGGACTTTACAAATGTTTTTCCCATTATGTTTAATTTTCACTTTAGACATTTCATATAGCAGGCATACTGTTGAAAAAGAAAAATTTTCATCCCCACATTTTTCATGCATATCTACATGCTTCTTAAAATCTACTCATGAGCCAGTTTGTACTCATGTGAGTTGGGTTTTCTTTCTTTTGAATCATGAGCTGATTCCATAACTCAACCTCTACATTTAAAACCAGTTTAAAATTAACTGATTGCAGGTCTGGTTTTGTTTTTAAGTAAGTAAAGTTTTGGCTGATTTTAGTGGACAAGAGGGATTAGGTACAAGAATTCTCCTCCGTGGGTAAGACTGTGTGAAACATGTCAACTTGAGTAAAATGAAAAGGCTTGGCTTTGCTGTCAGTCATGGATTGCATCCTTCTGATGTTTTAATTAATCTCTGCCTGTTTTCTGATACCAGAATGTGCAGCTCAGGGAGAAGGCAGTTAAAGGATGAGAAGCTTGACAATTTGGGGTTTTTTTTGTTTGTTTTGCTGTATTCTGAGTTGGATACAAAGCTCATGTGTATATATAGTCATGGTTTTACAGAGAGATAAATGCACTGTATGGGTGGAAGATGAGTTTCTTTGTATCACTTTGCTCTAGAAAGTATCACTTTGCCATCTGGAAAGCTGTCCTGTATGTGTACTGTGATAAACACTGATTTTTGAACAGTCTAGATCTCTCAGTTATGGGTTTATTATCCTTATTTCCAGATACCAACTGCTCCGCCAAGTTACACTGGACGACATCTCTGGTGAAAGGCTGTAGGCTGTAGAGAATAAGAATCCTTGTTGCAGATGTTCCCTGGCAGTGTGTCTTTGAGGGAAGGAATCCATAACAGTACCAGAACAAAGCAACAAAACATCCAGGATCTTTCTAAATCCTTTAGAGGATTTTGCCTAAATGTGAACACCACTGAATGGAGAATTGCAAAAGCAAAATTGTAAAACTGAAGCTGAATCTAATTTAAAACAGAAGTAGGCACACCTTAAATTGGCAGAGGAGATATTGTATTTTGAAGTGTAAGATATTCTCTTGTCTGTAACTTGTGTGCCAGGCAAGCCTGGTTTTGGTGCTTGCCAGTTGCTTGCAAAATCCCTTCCTCTCACCTAAACTTAATTCATGTTGCCACAAGAGATTGCCACTACAGTGCGAAAACACGCGGGATTTCTTTCCATTTTTCTCCTTTTCCTGTCATGTCCAACGTCATGAGAAGTCCCCTGTTTGCTCCCTCCCTGGCTGTGCTGTACAGTCACGCAGCACCGTGTGTGGTCAGGCACGGTCCCTCGGTGGCAGCTCGGTCCCTGTGGCTCTGCAGGCTGATGGGCTGATGCTCTGCTCTCTCAGGAGCTCTGCTGTTCAGGAGCTGAGCTTTTTCAGGAGCTCTGCTGTTCAGCAGCCCTGCTCTGTCAGGAGCTGCCCTGGAGGTGCAGTTCGGAGCTCTGTGCGTGTTCTGGAGGTGCAGTTCGGAGCTCTGTGCCCGTTCTGGAGGTGCAGTTCGGAGCTCTGTGCCCGTTCTGGAGGTGCAGTTCGGAGCTCTGTGCGTGTTCTGGAGGTGCAGTTCGGAGCTCTGTGCCCGTTCTGGAGGTGCAGTTCGGAGCTCTGTGCGTGTTCCGTGCGCCGTGCGGAGCTCCCCGGGGCAGAGAGAGAAGCGCGGCCCCGGCAGGGGCGGCTCTCCCCGGCCCCAGGGCTGGACTCGGTGACCCGCAGTGTCACGGGTGTGAGCAGAGCCCAGGCTCCGGCCCTGGCAGGGCTGTTCTGGCCAGGCTGGGCTGGCAGGAAGGAGCCGGGCTGCGGAGGGTCAGAGCCCCGAGCCCCCGTTGTTGGTACGAGCGCTCCGCTCCCCTCGGCCGCAGCTGTTCGTGCATTTCAATGTGGTTGTGCATTTTAGTGCCTAGAGAGTAGAATCTCTGTGCTGGAGGTGGTTTGTTGTTGTTTTTGTTTTTATTTAAGGTGGTTTCTTCCCTAGTCGTCCCCTCCCCATGCAGTTTCTTCAGTTGATATAAGGCAGAGTTTTCAAGGCTTTTCATCTTTGTTTTCTCCAGGTTATTTAAACGGTTCCCATTGCCCATTTGTTGTGCCATGGTTTCTCATTATGTTCAAGCAATCATTCCTTTCTTTAACATTTAATACATATCGGAAATTGAAAACATCACTGTATCCTCACTGTTTGGCCAATGTTAATCTTAGCTTTCCTCAATACTAAAAGCTAATTGTTTTTACTTGAAGGCATAGGAAACATATAACAATTAAACTTTGCATATGCTGTAATAAAAATATATATTTTCAAACTAAAAAATAAAAAGTACAAATAACTGAATAGCTTAGTAGCTTCACAGAGAGAAGTTACTTGCTGTATACTGCAGAAGAAAGACAAGCTTTTTATTTTTCAAGAGTCTTCCTGATTCCTCATGTACCTCCATTTCTACTGAATTAGAGCCTAGTCCTGCAGACCTGTACTCCCACGAGTAGCCCCATCGACACCAGTAGGTCTACACAAGGTACAGAGGCTGCAAGGCCAGTCCCTAAGTGTTGCACACAGATATATGTATATATATATATATGGAAAAATATCTATTGCCATTCTTGCCATGATCATCTTATGGAGTTTTATTTCAAAGCCCTTCTCCTCCAGAAGCAATGTTTTTCTGTCATGCATGAGTGAAGGAGTATGTCAGCTCCCCCCTGCCCTCCCTCCTCGAGGCAAAGGAAGCATGTGCTTGTTTTAGGGATCCTTTATTTCATTTTGTATGTAACTAGATGGCCTTAGTAACCAAGTAGGGTAGGGGTGGATATTGCATGCTATCCAGTGACTTAGAAATACATTTTGCTTGTTATGAGCAGAGCTTTGATCAAATAAAATAATATTTAAGATAATGAGAGCCACCCAGAAGACACGTAATTTGGAACAATAAAAAAACTATTACCATCACTTGCCTGCAGAATTTTGCCTTTAAAAACCAGTTAGAAAAAAAATCCCTTATAAAACTCTTAGCATAAAAACATATAAGATGACCATGGCATAAATGGTAGGACAGGTTTCTTTTAAAGAGTTTATCATGCTACAACCAAGACTTATGAATTATAATACACATTTTACAGACCTTTGACAAAAACTATACAAGACATAGTTATCTTAAGAAACTTTCTTTTTCTTTTTCTAGATGTGACTGTATTGATAAATAGAGTTCCCAATCCTGCTTCTGATGAAGTTGTTTGGGATTTCAGGGCTTATGCAAAGATATGGCCAGATCTTACAAACTGCAGTTCACATGATGAGTCTCACTGGGTTAGTCATGTGGATATTCACTGAATTAAAAATTAGGAGGATTGGGTTTCATGTGTGGTGGTGAATGTGTGGCAATAGATTTAGGAGGGTCTTTATTTTCCAACTTTTTACAATTAGTGATGAGCAACTTTTTTTTGTAAGTCACTAGTCTGTGATGTAAAATGCCCCAAAATAAAACTGTAATTGAAGAAAGGCACCTTTATGTTAACTTATATTTTTGTTACAGTATTTACTTTTGCCTTTTTTGAAAGTTTTCTAGAATGTAGAGCATCTGTGAACAACATGAATAAGTAACTAAGCACAAGCCTTTCGCAGTTCTCCTGATTATAATTAGCTTTTATACTATAAAAGCTACTATGTTGTCCCTTGATGGTTACGTGCTCATGGTGTTTCCATGCAGAAAAATGAAATCAAAAAGCATCTGACAAAAGCATCAATTAGCAAAACAAGATGTAAAATGACCAGCTTTGATCAGTGGCAGGAAAAGAGTTCAAAGTCCTACAGATCCTGTCCAGCTTTCAGATGGGTTGAGGGTGTTTGATTTTGACACTTGCCAGAAAATATGTAGCAACTTCAGAAGAACACTCTCAATACATCCAGCTGCTTCTATAAACAAGGTACATGAAATACTTTAGAATGAGCTGTTTCTGCTTTTATTCTAAACACAGGCATCTTGCTTGGCTCTGTCTGAGCTCGATGCCTTGGGTCTAACCAAAGGCCATACAAAAGGGAGCATTGTAGCTTTTATAACAAAACAATTGGATTATTCTACCAACTTACAGGATTACAAAGCAGGTGCTTTTTATTAATTGATGAGAGCTAAAGCTCATTTTTGATAGATAATATATATTTATTAAATGTATTAACGTGTGTTTTATAACGTACCCTTTTTCCTGCTGATTGTTGCATACTGGTATCTTATTAAGTACATCTTTCAAGGGTTTTCAAGACAATCAATGTGTACCATGATGACTGTACATAAGTATACAAAACTACAAAGGTTGTAAAGCATGGGCAAATGTTTTATTTTCAAAATGCTGTTCTTAACGAGAATAAAGGCTTTACTATTTACTTACAATGGTTGTGTCCTCTTGGTTTTAAAATCCACACAGATGTTTTCCATTGCAGTGAGCACTGCTACAGACAGAATTGCTCCTTGGTGCAGTTCCTCAATGTTAAACTGAAGGAAAGGGCTCCTAAAGCACATTCCTCCACCTCTGGCTCATTCCCACACTTACCCTTGGCTCTGGCACCTATCAAACCCAGGAGCCAGTCAAGGAGCTCAGCAGCCAAAGTCTTCACACAAAAGAGATGCTTTTTTCCCTTGTTGGCTCAGCAGTTTCCTGTTCTGGTTCAATTGCTTGTGAAAAGGAGAGGACAGAAGAATTCAGCTGGGTTTGAAGAGTGCAGAATGAGAGTTTTTCTTCAAATGGTTTGATTTTCCAGAGCTGGTGTAAGAACCATCATCACCAACCAGGAGCAAACCCAAGGGGTGGGTACTGGTGTAAGAGTGAAGACAAAGTCTGTGTAAGTGAAGGAAGAAATCCATGTGGACTGGAGACCCCCTGTGTTTTATTAGGTGTTCAGTCAAAACAACTACACCTTTGACTTGCATGGAATTATTTGTAGTTCTGTTACTATCTTCTCTAACTGTGAAATTATAAAGGCATTAACAGGACTGTGCTTGACAGGCTAAGTTAAAAAAAAAAAAAAAATCAGGATTCCTTAGCAAGGGGCCCAATCTGATTTTTTACTGTGCTTGGACCTGATAAAAGTAAGTAGCCTGCATAAGATTGCTGAAAATGCTGACACTGGGATCTTAATTCTACACTTTCCCAGCACATGTGCTAAGTGGTAACAAAAGGGCCTTTGACTTTTCTCCCCTGCAGAAATGCAGAGCAACCCCAGCTCTCATTGCCTTCCATTGGAATTGCAGGGGCACAGCATTTCTGCAAATTAGACCATTCTGAACAGAGCCTGGATTTGTGTAAATTGTCATAGCTCTGCAGGAGTCACAGAAGTCCACTTTATGATAAATGAAGATTTAACACTTGCCTACATGTGGATAGAACCTCATTTAATTTCATCCAGAGTTTTGTTCCTGTCAGAAAAGGGTTTAAGTGAGCATTCAGGAACACAAGATAAATACAGATTCAACATTTTTGGCTAGATGTGCCCCATTCCATCTGTTTTAACAGAATTGTGCTCACTTAGACCAAGACTGAGTTTTGTCTTGGCATGCTGGGTCCTTACATAACCTGCCTTTGATTTACAATACCCCACATGTAAAACTTTAATGCTAAAAGGGTTTCTAAATCAGTATCACAAAGTCCATGAGCTCTGTGCTTTGCAATTTTAGTGAGGAAACTAAAATTGAGATGATGAAGGATTTTGTGTACGTTAGTCCAGCTCTTCTGATTTGCTTCCCACTGCAACCATAAAAAAAAAATGAAATTAACAGGCACAGAAACAGAAAAGAAACCATCCGTACTTCCACAGCAAATACTCTGTTGCTCAATAAATAAATAAAAATTCCCTCCTAGACCCAAAATGTGTATTTCTTCTTTGCATGGCCTTTTTTTCATGTTTTGACACAGCTTCAGCACTCAGATACTTGCACACAGTTCTTTGTGCAGCTGTGGGAGCTGTGCATGTGTAGCTGAGGGCAGAGCTGTTTGCTAGTAAGAAGTCACTGGATTTAAAAAAAAGAATTGAAAGCAGCTCTTTGAGGTTCTTGCTTTGAAGAATTTTTCAATTAAAAGCCAGTGATGAAGTCATACAGTTCACCTAGCATATAAATATATTTTTGTCACTTAGGACAACAAGCAAGGTCAATAAAGAATAGTTTCTCTGTGTCTCAGTGGAAAGAAGAATGTTATCCATGTGATTGCAAAGGGTCTGCCAAATGGGAAAACTCAGTCAAACAAAGAGCACAGGACTGCTTGCTGGAGTAAACAATTCTAAATGAACAAAAGCTCTACATAAAAGTAAAATGTCCCACCCCCTGGTGAAAGCTGTTTTCAAAGCTCTGTATTCTTTCAGAATGTTGTAATACAGATTAACCTAATGTTTTTCTTCTGCTGATACAACAGTCTGGTTCCTCATTCTACTTGTGTGATTTCAGCTATCTTATTCTGGTTTTGATACTTCAAAATTTTACAAACTGCCTTGCAACTTAAAAAAATCTGCTTTTCTATTTCCTACACTTCAGAAGATGTGCCTGTACTATACACTTTTTACATCAAGCAAGTTTGCTGAGAGATTTTATATATAAAATCTATGCAAGAGGTAAAGAAAGCCAAATAAGCAAAAAAAAACCAAACAAAAACAAAAACCTTTTGAACATAGAGTTTCAGGAGAGCTTAGTTACCCTTCCAAGGCATGCAACTGAAAACCAGCAGAGAAAATCCTCTTGGTACATACCAGGAATGCTGGGCTGCAGCAGGCCCATGTGCTAATTTAAGGTGCTCAGTGTGCTCCCAACCTGGAGAATGTCAGCTCATAGAAAGCATCCAGGAAAAGGGGATGAGGGGGACACAGCAATCGCTTAGAAACCCAAAATGAGACTGCAGCAGCAGGACAAACCCTGTTTTACAATGGTCAAGGCAATACATGCCCAGTGCCTCAATGGCACAAGACCTTTCTGGATTTTAGGGTTTCTATTTGTGCAGTTAAGGAGAAAAATTGAGAATGGATTTAATATCCCCTATGACTATGAATGTCCTGTATACAAAATAATTTCTATTGCATTGAATTTTAGCTAATATTCCTTGATGTGATGAGGCTGACATTTGCAAATATTTAATAAAAATTGCAACATTCAGAAACCTCAGGGCTCACACACCTTCACATTAAAATGAGCAGGTGTTTTAGATATCTGCTAGCAGTGCTTTTAGTCAATAGTGTCCTTGTCTTATCATAACCTGTGTTACTTAAGCATAACAATTTCCAATCACATCACACCAAGCAGGAAGCACAGGCTGTCAGCATAAATGTGGATTTCAGGCAGTTATTGAAATAGCTTTTGACATATACTTGCTTCCTATGCAGATAGAAATGTAAGATGTCCTCAGGATTCAGATAAGCTGGAAACATGGAGAAAGAAGCTCCCTGGCTACATTTTTTTGCTAGAAATTTCCATTGGAGAAATGTATTTTTCAGGCTGTGACACCTCAAACTGAACTAGCTCCCTTAAAATATTTTGAAATGCCTAAGGAAGATGTTTAGAACAACTTACACCACCTGATAATATTTCAGACAACACAATGAACAGTGTAAATGTCAACATCAACAACCTGGCTTACAACTGCACCATTCCTTATGCTGAATTTTAGCCATTTCAGTCCTGGAAGTCCTATCATTCTTTCAAGAGTGCGAAACCCATTTCAGTTTCCAGTGCACTTTTAAAAGTGTGAAAATCTGCACGTAGCCCCGTTCCTGTTCCATCCCTGCAGTCACCGTGCAGCTCTCCCCACTGTGGCAGTGCCAGCTCTGGTTCTGCTGCAGTGGAAAAACCTTTCCCTGTGCTCTGGGAGAGTTCCTGATGCTGGGGAAAGGCACGGGGACAGAACTGGGCAGAACAAAGTGCCCCAGGATGCCATTTACACAGCAGGGATTGCAACTCTGCACTGCTGCCAGTCCCAGGGCAATGCCAAGAAAAGTGTTCTCACAGAAAGCTGGATGCAGGAAAATTACAGGCACTTCAATCCCAAGATGTTTGTGTGACTGAATGTATGAAATTTATCTACAGAGAATGCCTAATTTAAGGAGGCACAATATTAGAATTAAATAACACAATCATGCTCAGTGGCAGCACGATCAGTATTTTGAATGCTTTTAGACCATTAGCTCCTGTTTGAAGTCCTGAGGCACAGAGGAACTGAGGCCCTTAAGTGCTGTAACAGTGCAAGTTAAGAAACAATGAAATCTCACATCTCACTTCTTCTGGTACTGCTATTTCTACCTGAATAGGTCATATGGTTTCTCCTATCAGAACAGTTTAATTTTTTAGCACTATGTGTCAATCTCCTTACTGTATTTCTCAGACTTTTTACTCCTTACTCTTATTTTTTCAGAGTGAGAGAACCTGATTAAACTATGCTTTAGTCACATGGACATTCTAAATCATAGGACAAAACAGCCACCACTGCAATAATGAGCACCATTGGGTGATAAATTTCTTTGGAGGTGAGCTGGGGTGTTCTTCAGGAGCACAACTGTTATCTGCTATTTCTGACCTGCTACTCATACTACAATAAAGTCATCTTTACTTGTTCTGCCATGTTCCTGGGCAATGCAGCTAATTTGACATAGTTTATCATGTCTGTGCTGCAATGCTGAGGCACAGATGATGGCTAAAGGAAGCACTGGAATCTGTCTGAGAAGGGAAAATTCAAAAATCTTCAAAACTTGGAGCTTTTTTCCTATTTATTTAAGCAAAAATTTCAAATATCCTTATCATCTCATTTGGATGGCAGACATCATTTTCCCTCATCTTAATGTACAGGACTGATGTTTTGGTTTGACACTTGGTTGTTTCAGCATAACAGTGAATAAACTATGACCTACTTTGTGCACTGCTGGATAACACAACTGGCTTGTGGCAGTAGCTTAGGAAAGGTTTATGCTCCCACACTCTATAAAGAGTACATTTCTTCTTCATAGAACTCTAAGAACTACATTTAGTAATTTAAACAGTTGAAAACAGCAATGAAAAATACTACAGACTCAGACTATAAGATGAAAATCCATTAAAGAAAATCTATTGGAATAACTTATTAGCAGGGGCTTAGAGTAAAATATATATATAGAAAGGAGTTTCACCCTAGCCTCCCAATGAAATGCCAAAGAAGCCTGAACATGAAATTGGAGCCACCAGCAATCTTGCTGAAATAAGACCTGACTTTTAAAGAGAAAGTTTTTTTATAAAGTGTTTATAATTTTAGCCTCTTACTATTGGAAGTCTGCCTGTATACAATTATTAGTGAAACCTTTCACTCCAGGAAATATTCAGTCACTAGCGTGAGGGAAATGATCTATAGAATACAGATATATTAACCAAGCAATTGTTAAAATGGAAATTATTCCTATCCATAGACACTCCTGTAAGTCATGAATCTGAAATGGAACTGTTAGAGGATCACTCAGAGGAAGAGGCTTCTGCAAAATGGATTTTTGAAAGTGGCAGGACAAACCTAATTCTCCAAATCAGCAGCAGAGTTTGTCAAATGCTTAGTCTTGCCATCATGAATGTAGAGGACAAAAAGTTTCAAGGCATTTTTTAATTCACTTAGGATCAGATTCACAAAGCAAGGGCTGAAATACAGGAGACTTCCAAACACCAACATTCAGAGATGGGAAATAAGAGCTGGAAGATCTCTAGCAGAATTTGTTTGTGCAATGCACCATTGCTTTTCTCATATTGTGACAGGAAGACTCAGAATTCATTAGCATGTATTTGAATGGCATTTTTACAATTCAAGGTGCACATAAAAAAGAGAAATATGGGGAGATACAAGTACTGGAGTAGATGAACAACAGCCATGAACACCTGAGTTCGGAGAGAAATAACTACAGAGAATTAGATGTACTGGAGACTATTATTTAAAAGTATTCAAGTATCCTCCAAATCATCAATGTTCTGAGATTTATGAAGAGACAGCCACAGAAACACAACAGTTGATGGAACACAATCCTGGACTGAGAAGAAAATCAAGAATGAAGGCAACCAGTGCATTTCCAGAGTATCTGATTAATGCAGGGGTTTTTTTCAATGTAAATACTCAAGATAGAAAAAGAGAATGATGAAAACAGAAAGAGCTGACCAGAAACAGAAATGATCCCAGAGTGGCAGGTCCTCAGCTAAAAGCATTTGGGGATTTACAGGCAGAAACCAACATGGGCAGAATCCCAGAACTCCAGATTTGCTGGGCAGCTGCATGAAAACTGCATTTATCCCCATTAGCCCCTCTTATTTCTGACATGATTCCAGCTTGCAAAATGTGATAGGTTCTGTGAAATTACCAAATTTAAGCTCTTGTGCAGACTAAACCAAAGCATCAGGTAAGAAAGCAGACTGGTGCCACAGGGAGGTCTCCAGGGGAGCCAGGGCAAGCAGCTCCTGGGCTCTGCAAGGTGCCAGACACTTTCTGTACCCCCTGAGTCCCATTCCAGCACTCCACTACAGCTCATGCTCTTTCTCTCCCTGCTCCACTTCCCCCCTTCTTTTTTTAACCAAGAGTGTCAAATCTTGTTTTGCTGCAGGACTATTTGGAGGCTTTATTTTTCAGCCTTTTCTCCAGGCTTCTGGAGAAAAGCTCCACATCCCATAGTTATAAATGGAAATTTGGGGTTTGCTTATCTAAATGGTTTACAAAACCACCAGCAGCATTTTCAATAAAAATCCTGCAATGTTTTTCACTTTTAAGGT